CTCTCTCTCTCTCTCTCTCTCTCTCTCTCTCTCTCTCTCTCTCTCTCTCTCTCTCACACACACACACACACACACACACACACACACACACAAGCGCGCGTTCGTCGCTCGCTGCCTGTGATCTTCAAAGATCGTAAAACTAGCCGTTGATCTGTGATCAGTTAAAAAAAAACTAGCCGTTGATTTGTGAAGATGTAGCCGTTGCTCTGAGGGAAAGCTAGCTGTTCGAAACTACCGTCTTCCCCCCCAACACACGCATTCTAATCCTGAATGTGGCGCGTAACTCAGGTCGGATACAGTCGTGTGGAGGGCGCGTTGTAACGGGGGGAAGGCAAACGTTAGCCGCGAGTCCGCCTTTTCTGTATTACATCAACGGTTCAGAACAGTCGATAATAACTGGTCGTTGATGTGTTGACGACAACGACAAGACGTTGATCTGCGATCTCCAACAGTTCCAGAAAAAAAACAACAGCCGTTGATCTGTGACCATGATGAAGCTGTGATTGTGCGGAAAGAGTCCCCGCACTTACAAAGAGAGAGGGGGGGGGAGGGGGGGGTGCAAAAAAAAAAAAAGTCGCCGCTGATCTGTCGATCGCAGCCGTTGAGCTGTCAGGACCCATCTTTATCTTCCGGAATCTTGAGAGCCAGTCGTTTTCCCGCCTTTTTTATCCGACAGGTCATCTTTTTTGTCTAATTGGCTCATCGGCAATCTGGCAGTGGGCACGTGAAGAGAATATGAGATAGATGAGAGAAGAATTAAAAAAAAAAAGAAAAAAAAGAGGAAAGTTACACTACGTGCTCGGGGTAAAACTGGTGGGAAAGGTACATCTTTGTTGTCGTCATCATAAATTTAAGAGAAAAAAGCAACCACAAAAAAACAAAAAAAAGGGGGAAGGAGAGCCAGGTGGGAAGAGTCAGATTTATTTTCGTTGACGTCCCGTTTGTGTCGGTACAGCTTTTGGTCGTGCTGCTTTTCCCTCGTCTGCCCCCGCGCTCGCTCCGACGCAAACGGGACGTCAACCAAAATAAATCTGACGTGAGGTTTGACGGCAACGGAAATTGGAGCAATCGTTCGTCGTTCAAGGCACACACTGCCACTACGTAGGACTTTTTCCAGAAATTCCTGCACACGTGATACTGTCAAATACATGCATTCTTGCCTAATTGCGGTCGGATACGTTTAGGAAAGTGCTACTACACGTAGTCGTAGTGCGAGTACGATCTGATTCAGACGGACGCACAAAAAAAAAAAAAAAAAAAAAAAAAAAAAAAAAAAAAAAA